TTCCTTCTGGTAGGTTATGTATTGTGAATATTTTCATGTATTGTTTCTTCTTTCCTTGTGGTAGGTTATGTATTGTGAATATTTTCATGTATTGTTTCTTCTTTCCTTGTGGTAGGTTATGTATTGTGAATATTTTCATGTATTGTTTCTTCTTTCCTTGTGGTAGGTTATGTATTGTGAATATTTTCATGTATTGTTTCTTCTTTCCTTGTAGTAGGTTATGTATTGTGAATATTTTCATGTATTATTTCTTTCCTTGTGGTAGGTTATGTATTGTGAATATTTTCATGTATTGTTTCTTCTTTCCTTATGGTAGGTTATGTATTGTGAATATGTTCATGTATTATTTCTTTCCTTGTGGTAGGTTATGTATTGTGAATATGTTCATGTATTGTTTCTTTCCTTGTGGTAGGTTATGTATTGTGAATATGTTCATGTTTTGTTTCTTCTTTCCTTGTGGTAGGTTATGTACTGTGAATATTTTCATGTATTATTTCTTTCCTTGTGGTAGGTTATGTATTGTGAATATGTTCATGTATTGTTTCTTCTTTCCTTGTGGTAGGTTATGTATTGTGAATATTTTCATGTATTATTTCTTTCCTTGTGGTAGGTTATGTAATTTAGCCATCGTTCTGTTTCTTTTATAGTTATTTCATTAAATATCTTATCCTAAACTTGGAATAAATTCAGTAACTCACAAACTGGAATTAGATGATAAAAACCCCTGTTTCCTGACTAGATGAAAAAACAACCTGTTTCTTGACTAGATGATAGAACCCTTGCTACCTGATCAGATGATAAAACGCCCTGCTTCCTGACTAGATGATAAAAACCACCTGTTCCTGATTAGATGATAAAACCATCTACTTCCTGACTAGATGATAAAATCCCCTGTTTCCTGACTAGATGATAAAACCACCTGTTTCCTGATTAGATGAGAAAACCACCTGCTTCCTGATTAGATGATAAAACCACCTACTTCCTGAGTAGATGATAAATCCATCTGCTTCTGTGTTGTTTTATTCTCGCTAAATGTTTATTTTAGTATGAAACGATGAGGACATACCCATGATCGCGATATTTTCAGTAAAAATGTTCATTATTATTGTACTTTACTACTAGATGGCGTTTACTTAAATGTTACTTTATAATTATAACTTTCAGATCCGTGTCTCGGAGTGGAATGTCCATCCAATCAAGTATGTCAACTCGACGACAATCGGAACCCTATATGTCGGTGTAACGCAGTCTGCCCTGGTGATTTCCACCCCGTGTGTGGTTCTGATGGGAATACTTACACTAATGAGTGTATTCTCCGCGTGGAGGCGTGCAAGTCACGACAAGGTCTCAGGATTATCTATATGGACAAGTGCAGCGAAGGTAAGAAAGAAAGATATTTAGACTGATTATATTATTCAAATATTTTTAATTAATACTTAATTAGAAGTATTATCTATTCACCTTATTTATTTGCTCATTAAAATTAACTTCAACAAATCACAGTTAAAACAAAATTTAAAATAAACGTCATGTTACAGCAATGTGTTTGTGTACGTGTTACAGTAGGATTGTTTATAAATGTGACATAACCTTACATTTTCTGCTTCATTTACAAGCTTAAAAAACTTTAATCTATCAACGCCGAAAACAATCCTCTTTATTTTAGCAAATCATTGCCCCCTGGTGGTACAAACTTCATCATCCGTTAGATATTAGAGATTCATCCTTCTGTATTTGCCCTTGAAGAAGAGAAGCCTACTTGCATGGGTTTCATCAGGCTGTTCTAACATCGCATGTTAGGGTTAACGTAATTGTTCTCTACAATGACAAACTGTGTTGTTTTTCTTACAAAAACGCTCAGGAATAGCAACTTTCTTTAACTCTTGGAAATCCCTCTATATAAAAAAAAAAGAATTAATTTCAATAATTCAACTATAATAGACAGTTTCTCGAACTGTGATTTAGAAAAGAAAGAAAGAAATCGAAAATGAACTCTATCCAGTCTTGTTTAATTTTCCCACATTTCTTGCTAGGCTGTTTCACTTTAACAAATCGTTACTATCATTGGTAAACCTTTTTGTCACTTACATTTTGAATAGACCCTTTTTTAAATTAAGCCTTTTTATTTTCATAAAGTTAAAACAGGGTAAAGGAAAAGTTATGTTGTATAATCTGGGACCGTATTATAAACCAGTCGCACGTGATTTTATGGTCAGTAATTTGTAAAGCCAGTGCTGTTTACCGTTTTGTGAACTAACGTCCTAGCTCAAATGTAGCGTACCGTCTGTTGTCCCAAGGGGCGAACCCGTGTGAGAGTGTCCAGTGTGGTCCTGGTCAGGAGTGTGACATCGACAGGTATGGAATTGCCAGTTGCAAGTGTCCAAGCGGTTGTGAGCCGGTCATGAGACCCGTCTGTGGAACAGACCAAGAAACCTACGACAGCGATTGCGAGCTCCAAAGACAGGCTTGTGTCCAGAAGAAGAACGTGGCAGTAGCTTACAGAGGAGTCTGTGGTAAGTGTTCCTGATAAAGAACGTGGCCGTAGCTTACAGAGGAGTCTGTGGTGAGTATTCCTGATGAAGAACGTGGTCGTAGCTTACAGAGGAGTCTATGGTAAGTGTTTCTGATAAATAACGTGGCCGTAGCTTACATAGGAGTCTGTGGTAAGTGTTTTGTGATAAAGAACGTGGCCGTAGCTTACAGAGGAGTCTGTGGTAAGTGTTCCTGATAAAGAACGTGGCCGTAGCTTACAGAGGAGTCTGTGGTAAGTGTTTCTGATAAAGAACGTGGCCGTAGCTTACAGAGGAGTCTGTGGTAAGTGTTC